TGAAGAGCACAGGGCCCAAGATGGAGCCCTGTGGAACCCCACTAGTGACAGGTCACCAGTCTGATGTTACCCCATTCACTGTTACCCTCTGTGCTCCACCCATGAGCCAATTGCTCACCCACTGCATGATGTGTTTATCCAGCTGTGTGCTGGACATTTTGTCCAGAAGGGTCCTGTGAGAGGTTGTATTGAAAGCTTTATCGAAATCCAAAATATGACATCAACTGGCTTCCCTTGATCAACCAGCTGGGTTACCTTGTCATAAAAGGAAACCAGGTTTGATAAGCAGGACTTCCTCTCATGAAGTCGTGCTGGCTGTGACCAATGACTGTGTTGTCTTTCAGGTGTTTTTCAACACCTCCCAGAATAATCTTCTCCATAACTTTACCAAGCACTGAAGTGAGACTGACAGGCCTGTAGTTTCCAGGATCCTCCTTCTTGCCCTTCTTACAAATCAGAACATATGCCAGCTTCCAGTCAGCTGGGACCTCTCTGGATTCCCAAGACCACTCAAAAATCATCAAGAGAGGTTTTGCAATGACATCAGCCAGCTCTTTGAGGATTCTTGGATGAATCCCATCAGGCCCCATAGATTTGTAGGGATCCAGCTGGAGCAGCAGATCCTGCACAATTTCAGGGAGTTGGTCACTCACAGTCATGGTCCTCCAGCTCAGGGCACTAGAGACCCCCTTGGTCCATCATCTGAGTTGAAGACAGAGGCAAAGAATGCATGAAACACCTCTGCCTTTTCTCTGTCCCTGTTTGTGAGGTGACCATCTCCATCCTGTAAGGGGCTGATGATATCTCTATACTGCCTATTGCCATTAATGTATTTGAAAAAACTCTTTTTATTGTGCCCCACATTTCTGGCAGCTTCAACTCCAGCTGAGCTTTGGCCGCACAAATTTTCTCCCTACAGCAGCAAGCAGCATCTCTGAATTCTTCCCATATCACTTGATCTGGCTTCCATGGGCATACCCCTTCCTTTTTTGCCTTACTTCTAAGAGAAGATTCCTGTTCAGCCAAGCCAGCCTTCTGCCTCGCCTGCTTGACTTCCGACATTTGGGAATTGCTGTTCTTATGCCCTTAGGAGGTCATGTTCAAAAAGTGACTAGCACTGATGGACCCCAGTATATGCAAAAACATTTTCCCAGGGGATCTTACTTACTAATTCCTTGCTTTGTTTACTTATTTTCTCTTTCCTCTCCCATATTTCCTAACTATTTCCTCCTACGCGTTCACATAATACAATATACATGCAGCCTGGCTTTTGTCTTGAGGAGGTTTTTCAATTAAATAGCAAAATACAAATAGCTGCACACTTCTAAGCTTTTATGCTACTTCTTAACAATCATTTTAGTGAATGCACTTTTGGTTTTAGAACTGCAGCACTTCTATTGAAGTCCAAATCTAGTTTCTCCAACTTTCTTTATATTTATTACTCTGAAATGAGGCACACACATTCAGCATCTAGATGCAAACAGAATGTAATTTTGAAAAATGTATATAGAATTTTCTTATTTCTGAGAGATGCAAGGCCACCTCTCTGCCTATTAAGAGGCTAGAACAGTACCTGTTCCCCAAACTCCAATTATCCTGCAGAAGACCCACCCACTGCGGACAAATACAGTATGTAAGAATTTAATTATTTCATATGAATTTTGTATAACATATAACTAAAAAGGGGAATAGAAACAACTCCTTGAACGTTGCATATCTGCAACACGAGCAACACAAAACAGTGCCATGGAATTATGGTTGATTCTAGTCAACAAGCTATTTCAGTCACTAATCTATTATTCATTGCATTTTGATAGACATGGTTTTTTATGGCTTAATATCAAATTCTCCAACTGGTTTGCCGCCATAGGTTCCTGCCTGTGTTTCCAAATTCCCTCAGTAAGCCTGCACTATTTGCCAACGTTTTTGGTCAAAACTAGCTTTGATTCAGAAGTTGCCATAGAATTATTAAGGACACACAGCTCCTGCCAAGAGAATCTTCCCAAGAGAGAATTATTTTTACATGCCAAAGCTCCTCCGAAATAAGCATATCAAGACCTCGAAAAAGAGGCAAATTCCGCTATAAAAAAAATAAACAATTCAACATGGACTATAATTTATTTGTGATAGCTTATGCATTTGCCTATATGCATATATCAAAGGGCAGGAAACTTATTTTGTTAATAAACACCTTTTAAATTCATAGATAGCTCTTATTTTTGACCCTTTGTTCACTTCCAGTAAATTACAAATCACTTTTGGAAATGTCTTCCAATATTACCTACCATTCAAATACTAATGACTTTGTATAAGTAATTAAATTTGGGAAGATTACTTTTCTACTACTTACCTCCTGATGAGAAAACAAATCACCAGGAAGTCGTTCAAGAAATGAGGAGAGTGAAAAAGATGACTTCTTTCCTTGCACATCAATAACTTTGAGGTGCTCTGGGGAAGGGCTCAAGAAGGCATAAAGTGCTTCACTCTGGCAGAGTCTTTCATCAGAGAGTAATTTCTATGAAAGAAAAATAATTACTGAAACATGTCAATTAAACATTTCTTGTTAAGGAATAAGATGTGTCAAGCCATCCACTAAAACCAAGTAAGTCATGGCTCAGAGGTAGTGTGAGGAAAAAAAAATCCATGTCTCACAAAGATACTTTAACAAGCTAGGTCTAAAGTACTGGAATTATTAAGACTGAAGTTTTTAATCTTACAACTTTCTTTTTTTAATAAAAGTTCTCATTTTTAAGGAATTTGTTGTGAAGTCTTGTAGCTAAAAGTGGCAATTATAGGATTCGTTACCTATGATTTCTTAATTAACTGAAGTTTAACCATTCCACTGGAGGAATGGTTACTATCAATCAAACTCATCCTAACTTCAGGCATTTTAGACAACTTCGACATTTATAGCATCAAACCTTACATCTGACCTATTTGTTCTAGGCTCCCTCTTTAGGCAATAGAGAGACAACATTCTCTCAATTCTGCTGTTTAGATATCTGTTGGTTTTGGTTCTGTTTTCTTACCTGCAAAAAGTTATTAAGCTGGTTCTTGGATTTCTCCATGAATTTCTGGTCTATGGATTTGAAGGGCAGCTTGCTGAGAGAAGGCAATTGAACTTTTTTTAATGATGGAAAACACTGTGCAGGAGAGAGGAGAGCTCACTTAACACGCATGTGGAGAAAAAGACAACTGGTTCAGAATGGAAATGAAGAGACTCTTTTGTACTCTCATCTCCCTTCCACACCCCTCTCAGCACCTTGAAAAAACACCTCCCTTACCCACTAGAGACTTCCCTTCCCACCACCATCATCTATCTCTTATCACACAGAAAGGTTAAAGCGCTATAAAAAGAAACGTTCTCTGTCCCCAAAAGCTGTCATTTCTAATACTTCCCTGGAAGTATTAGAGACAAACTCTAGTTTATACAGTCAGCTCCTCCATGACAGTGCAGAGCATATAGCATTCTGACATTGGGTTAGTCCAGTAAAACATTATTAAGAGGGGGAAAAAAAATTATAAACAAGTTTTATAAGCATCTCTCTCTGTAAGTGACCAGAAATAGTCAGACAGAAAACTAGCTCTAAAAGGCTAAAAGCCAAAAGGCTGCATTTAAACTGGCAGTATTACATTTTTATCATTCTGACAAATTTCAGAAATTTGTATCTTCTTCCTCCCTTAGCTGAGATTCGTACCTCACTGAGTTTGCGGTGTAGGTTCTGAAACTCATTGAGCTTCCTGGGAACAGTCCAGTTCTTAGTTTCAGCTCCACCAACTTCTTGTAAACTCACCATGACAGAGTAACAGGGCACTTGTTCTCCATTCTCTTCTAAAACCTTGTGGAGAAGAAACCAGCAGATAAGTTATACTACATTGAAAGTAAAACAGTGGAACATTTGAGCTGCCAGATGACTGGCTTGCAAACTCAGTCATCATCAGTTCCATGCTTCTCTTGAGATTTGAAAGCTACATATGGAGCAATACCCTTAATGAACTAAACTTCACCCAAAATGCTGTGCCAGTCCTGAATCAGTCCTCTAGCTAACCAGTATGGCACCTGACATAAAGCTTAGCAATGCTGTCCACCAGCAATCAAATCTCGCTGACATGTCTTCTTCAAATAGGTGAGTGTATTATTTCAGTTTTTAAGGTCCCTACCATATAGCTTTCTGATTATCAATACTCCATTCTGGTTATCAATACTCCATCTCTCCTATCTGCATTTACCTGAGTGTTCTCCCTTTACTCCCACGCTTCCTTCCCAGTGCCCTGTTGAGGCTCACCCACATGCCAGGCACAGCAGCTCTGCAGCTGGGCCCTGTGACAGCTAGTGCTGTCTCAGTGATTTCTCTACTCACTCAAGCCATTCTGCATGCACAGAGGATGTGGTGTCCATGCAGTGTTTATGTCTGAGGGACTCACAACTTTACAAAAATACTAATTAATCAAACTCTACAATCCTCAGTCAGAGGAATGAGAACCAATTAACCACATTGTGCAAATGGGAAAACTACAGCAAAGAAGTTAAACAATTTTTCTTGAGACCACAGCAGCAGTGTGACCACATTATTTCTTTATTTAATGTAAGAACTGCTATAAGAATTTCATCCTTTTGTCCTATTCGTAAAAGATTTTTGTTTACTTATTTTGAGGAGACAGCTAAATTGATTATGAAAGGCAAAGAAGGGAAATGCATAAAATACTTAACTCTAGGAATGCTTTGTCTTCACGTACATGCAAATAACTGAAAGGTAATTATAAAATACCACTTTCACAATCTTTTTGAGGAAGTTATAATTTTCAAACTTTTTCTAAAGAATAGTTAAACTAATCTAATTAGGATAAGAATAAACTTTAAAATTCATATAATTATGACACATTTTCTAAGAACCCTGTAAAGGTCTGACAACACTTAATGCTATTGATGGATAATTTGACAAGTGACTACATTACCATTGTAAAAGACATGCAGCTAAAACGTACCTTCGTATTTTTAGGCCATTCAGAGCTGTACATGGAGAATATTCCCTGTGATTCCTAAAGCTGCACATGGACAACTGGGGAGCCAAATCTGAGGCCCAGATTTCACATATCTGTGTAAAAAAGCTGCAGCAGAACCCAGACAGAATACAAAGCACCAGCTTGAATGCCTGAAGATATGCCTGTTTCTCAGTGCAGCTATTTGGGGAACTGCCTATCTCCTGCCAGAGTACTGCAGACAGATGCTTGAACAGCCTCCAAAATACAGGTCAGAGAAACATGGCCCAGAAGAATTGGGATTGTGTGGGACAGTCTCTACCCTGTGTACCCCTGAGCTAGATTAGATCTGTGCTCACCTACAAGCTGCAAACATCTCCTGGCTGCAACTTTTGAATACTGGGAGATCAGTGCTGAAATTGCTGATTAGAGTCATGCCTATCATTCTCCATTCTGCATTTGTTCCCAGGGCAGGGATTTGCATGTGTGTAGGGTCATCTGAACTGTAATTGTCAGGAGAGAGTCATTGCTCTGGAAGCATATTCTCAGAATGAGAGGACTTAGTACTCCTGCTTCAAGTTAGGATCCATGCGCAAAATTATTTAAATTCTGATTACTAGATGGAGACATACTACAACTTTCTTCAAGTACCCTCAAATACTCTCATATAAATACTGAAAGTCTTCAGAATCTTTTTAAGAATGCAAAATTCTTGATCAATTTATGTACTTGTGCATTTGTTTTTCCAAATTAATGAGTCAACTGGAAAACAGAAAAATGGGATGTTAGGAGGTCTTCTAAACCAGGAGAACTAGTCCTCTGCTGTTAATAGGCACCATCTCATACAACTGCTATCATGAATTAATTCAAACTAGAGAGCCCTATTCCTCTGACTCTCCCTTCTGCTAACTCAAGCAAATGAAAGTGCTTTCAGAATCACTTCTCATGGGAGAAGTTCCTCATTGAAGACCCCCAGGCCTTTTTCCACTGGGCAGCTTTCTAGTCACCTCTTACCTGGGTGTGGGGTGTGGTAACAGTAAGAAATATGCAATTTTTTTCCTCTTATTCAGATCTACAAACTCCATTCCTTATGAAAGCAATAGATTTTTTAAAATATCTTATGCTCTGAAACAGTCATTCTTTGGACAAGGGAGACATGGGTTTTTTCAAATCTTAAGTAACTAGTTTTTTATGTGCTATTTATTAACTGATTTAGTAATCAGTTTAAAAGGTCAATGACAGGCTATTATACTTTCAGCTTATTTCTGTATCCAAATTTACTTTTACTAAGATTTACTGCAAAACAATAGGGCTACCAAGTTTTTCTCTCTCTAAAATCACAGAGGTATATCCTGGGATTAGCAACAGCATATTTTGCAGATAGGAAGACAGTGTCATCTACTCATGCCCCCTGAAATCAGCTGCAGCCAGAATATTCCCAAGCAATTAATTAACATCGATAATTACAACATATATGTTTCCTCCAGCCCATCCTTTGAAGCACAGAGCCGCAAACAAGACAACTAATGCAAACCTACAATTCATTACCTATTCCAGTACTACTTATAAGTTATAGTTAAGGCAGCAAGTAATTAGAAGCCTCTTCCAACCTCCATCTTATTTAGCCAAACTACTTTCTCCTCTGGTAGTATGGGAGACACTGGACAGTAGTGTATGGTGCCCCTTACCACAAAGCCGCCCTTCTCCAGTTTTGCTGCACACAGCATTGCCACATTTTAAAACTAGACTTCAAAAGCTACAGATAACTCTTAAAAGACAACTTAAGAGCTTCTCAATTCTCAACTGTGTCACCTGCAAACAGCGTTAAAACAAATCCAAACCCAGATGTTTGCACATGGAGAATTTGATTTTTAAAATGTCACCTTAAGTTTTTAACCTGTTGAATTTATTTCTTCTTTTACAGACAATGACTTTAATTGTTAACAGACCTATCACTAGCTTGCAAGAGCTTAAGACACAACCAAATAAACTCAACAGCACATACTTTTCCTTCAACAAAAAGTTACCTCAAGATAACTACTTATATTCATTCCAGGAACATTTTCTTAATGATGTAGGAAGGCAAGCCAATAGAGACCCAATTAATCTTTAATTCTCTGTAGGGATACTGTCAAGAAGATTGCTTATGTTCGTGTTACGTAGTACATAACAAGCATTCACTGAGTTCCTTTCATGGCAAGTGTTAGAGAGCTAGGAGATGGTAATACTTCTTGTTTTCATTACAAATTTTTTTACATTCATTCTACTATTGTCTGCCTACGCCCAAATGGAAGAGCAGAACAAGACAAAAAGAAAAGAAACACGTAACTTCATCTTACAGATATAAAGCACTTTCTTTCTGAGTATTCCAGTCCTCTGAAACTGTACTGCTATTAAATATAATACTACAAAGTAATGAGTGTAAATACTGCATCTTTGAGACACAACAGAGACACAACTGCACCCAAGTGCAATAGCATGGTAATACAACAAGAGACAGTTCTCATGAAAAACAATGCCTCTAAGATAGCAAACTGTCAAAACCAGTTTATGTTCATGCAGGTAATTTTTATAACTCCATTACAACCGTGTCTGAGGAACAGAAATTTTGTACACACATCACAGTAGCCACTGGGAAACAAGAGGAACTCAGAAGAGGGTTCCTTCCCCCACAAGTCAATATTAAGTATAAACGGTGTACACAAAGGTATAAGGAAAGTAGCTATGCATTTTTCCTCCACTTTTCATGCAAGTTTGAATTGACTCAGAAGACAAAAAGCCATAAAAAAATCCCATACCTCGCCTGAGACAATGAAGGCTTTCCACATGCCAAGATTCTCACACCACCAGTCCGTTCTTGCAATGTGCAGCTGAAGGTCACTGTGCTCTCTCTCCATCAGAGTAATTTCATCTTTCAGCTTAGAAACAATCTGAAGAGGAAGGTTTATTAATTACAATTGGTAAGAAAAAGCTCGTGCAACATGCCTAGTTGTGTCCTTGGGGACAGCGTTCATAAAGAAAAGGTACAAAAGCAGGAGGAGAACAATTCACATGGATTAAAAAAAAAATCAAAAATGAGAGAATCAATGATGCCTCTTATGATCTCCTATAATACACAGCAATCTTAACAGTCAAACCTGATACTAAAATAAAAAACAAGTTAGAAGTACATGCTACTATCACACTATCAATATAAAAGGTACTTGAGATTGGATTGTATATTACATACTGAATGCTTTATACAAAGTTGAAATTGCCATTACTGAAATAGGCATTACCGAAGACATCCTCCTTATCACCTCCAGGTATACACTATGCGAATAGATTTCATTTCTAGGAATTTAGCTATGTTAACAATCATTCAGGAAGTTACCACTTATTTCATTTTAGTTTTGAAGAGGCAAGGATTTATTACTGTGGAAAGCACAAATTTAAAAGATATTCTTGTCAAGATGTAACTCACCATCATAATCTAATAAAGGAGAAATAGAGTCTCTCATTACATCAGCAAAAAAAAAAGTAAACAAACATCCTGCCAGGAGACAGTATGACAAGAAAAGGTGGAAGTATACATAAGATGTGACATTAGAAACATGGCAAAAGCAGCTGACACTTTTTTACTTTATTTTTAAATATGACACACCACACAGTCAAATTTATTAGTTCTACCACGTGTACCACAAGTGGTGCATTCTACAGAGCTACAGTAATTCTGTCTCATTCAGCAATTTTTTCTCATGCTAAATATGAAATGTTATCTACATGACAGCTACAGAACAACATTCTAGCGGATACCTAACCTTCAGAATAATTTTTTATTTTAACTTATTTACAGTCAACATAGACACTGCTCTACAGTCACATTGCATTGACTCCAGTGGCATCCAGGAACATGCAATAATACAGAAGAACTGGTAAGGTTTCAAAGGTAAACGGCTGCTACGTTTACAAACCAAACACAGACTTTACAATGATACTGGATCCATTTTACTATTCTGTTTCAGAGAGGTATTTTTTTCAAAGACAAAGAATATTTTAGAAACAAAAACATACAGGGAAAAACCCACTACTTTAGTAGGACTACAATCCCTGCCTCCCCAAGAGCTTAAGTATAGAAAGAATATAGCTACTATGTTTCAAGAATGAACAGGGAACTTAGAAGTGATACATCCAAGTGAACGGAACAATATATAAAGGTTTAGTCATACAGAATCATAGAATGGCTTGGGCTGGAAGGGGGACACCCCAGAAAAGCTTCAAACACATTTTCAGCTGTCTGCAGTAACCTCTGACAGAAGGGAGATGTGGAAGGGACAGAGGGAATAAAGTTAGCCAGGGTAGCCTCAAATGCTAGTGTTCACATCTTTCTCTTAGAGGTAGCTATCCCCAGAGCTGGGGTGGCAGAGAATGAGTCAACTTCTATTCAGACCAGCATCTTACCATACACCCTGAGTGAAGGAACAAATATATGAAAAATCCAACTCCTGAGCAACGACTAATGCCCAGGTACATTTTTGTCATCTGAAGCAGGAGGTCACTTTAGGGAGATGCCTTGGCTATTTGTTGGTCTCACCCACTGTCTACCATTTGCAACCAAGCAGTCTCAGTACACCTGACAAGCTTGGCCCACCTGCGTCTGAACAACAGTCCTGTAATATCACTCCTGAGAGCAACGCAAATGAGTCGGCCTAAGCCATATGCAAATCACTTGCTTCTCCTGGAATATTGTCTCAGACTGCTTAACTGTTTCACTTTGCAAGAGAAAAGGAGATTTTTTTGTTTGTTTGTTTTTAGTCCAAGTCCAGATTGCTGAAGTTTCATATCCCTCGGAATTTTTCATCTGGTGACAGTGTGCTTTCTCCTAGTTCCTAATAAAGGAAATCAGTCACTTTTATAGGTTTGGGGGGTTTTTTATCCCTTTATTCGACCAAATCCGTCACAGCTGGATTATGGAGTTGTGCTGTGCTCTTCGCAGCCAGCAGAGGGCGCGGGAGTTGACCAGCACATCCCTCCGCGGCAGCGGTGCCGGAGAGGCAGGGACAGGACACAGGCTGCCATAAGGAATTACACGGACTCGGCAGGGCAGGGAGGAAAGGAAGGAACACTATTTCCCACCGACAAAGCAGCAAGACCACTGAGAGAGTGGTCGTTATTCCATGGCAAACAAAGCAATATAAATCATATCTGCAATTTCAGTTACAATAGCTTTAAAAAAATTGAAAAAATCAACAATTAAAACAGCTCTGATTTCGCCTCCTATTTAACAAGTTGATTGAAATAGCAATCTGACCTGTGCAAAGTGTGACAACTGGATATTACACAAACACACACATAATATTTTAAAAAAATCCAAACAAACCAAAACTGAAGACAGTAAAGATACTTACCTTTTTGTCGGGTTTTGGTGAATTACATATGGAATTTAGAGCCTGTTTCTTATACTCAAGCTTGTCATTTAGCTGGCGAAGTTTATTAACAGCATAACTGGCCTGTTCATTAATTCTTGTGCTGCATTCTTCACTAGCTTCTTCACAACCTTGGCTCTAGAAAAAAGAGAATGGGGGTAATTGCAACATTAATATAAAAAAAAGAGACAGTTATTCATAGAATGATAGAAAGTATGGGCTAGAAGGGACCTTAAAGGTAACCTAGTTCCAATCCCCCTGCCATGGGCATGGACACCTTCCACTAGACAAGGTTGCTCAGAGCCCCATTCAGGCTGGCCTTGAACACTTCCATGGTTGGGAAAGGGATGGGTTATTATTTGCTTGTTAAGCATTTTATGCGTAAGAACACTTCTTGATATAGATAAAAATGTATGTATAACAGATATTCCAACCACCAGATCCAACATGAAACATCAGTCTGTTATAAAAAACCAAACCAAATCCCCAAAACCCCAACAGACAATGCCTCATTACCATTCCTACTACAGTTTTTTGGCAACTCTTGCCAACTGTGTAAAATGACCTTCAAGCTAAGGCTTTAGTGTAAATGAGAGGTAGAATTAAAGTTTATTATAAAGCAACAACAGCTTAATAGTCACGATCAATATTCAGAGCCAGATAGAAAAGCAAATACTTAGCTCTGAGCTGAAGGATAATGAGATGGGGCAGTGAGGAATAAAACCAAAAAAACCCCACAGTTCTAACAACAGTCCTCCCACAAATCTTCACAAAATAGATTTGTCATCCTGCAGAACAATTTAAACCATGTCCTTTTGCTTCATAAACAGATTTTACTGCTATTTTTAGAAGTGCTAATAAAAATGTGTTAAAAGCCCATATGCCTTACCCTAAACTCATAAATCATTATCATATATTCATTCAGACAAACCAATAGCTTTCTCTGTCTTGTGTACTACAGGCATGCAAAAGATAGAAAACTTCACATCTTTGTGACATTCTCTTTACATCTCTTGGCATTTGCCTCAGCCTCGCCTTCTTACTGTACATCCCCAAATAGGCAATGAAAACCTTGAGATTCAGCAAACACAGCACTCAGCTTTTATTCTTGCCACATTCAAAGATCATTGAGGTCTTTTTGTGACTGGATATATCTAAATTTATCTGTGGGAAGCTGAGTTTAATCTTATGAACAGAAGCTCCATGTTCTTTAATGATATTCCCACTAAGTAAGCTGTATCTTTATATAATTAACAAAAAGCTAACAGAAGGAAGTCTCATCTCTACTAAATTAATGAGTTTTAGAGGAGACAATTCTACTGTAAATT